ATGATGATTGGGTTGAGGAACAATATGAAAATGGCAGATTATGATCTAACAGTTTCAAAAAGATTGTATCTTCCAAATAAAAAAAAATTCTGTACTAGTTACAAAACATGTGATATTAGAAACATCTTAATTATTAATTACAACATTGTTAATTACAACAAAGTTAGAAATATTCATAAATATTATAAGTTGAATAAATTATAAATTAACTGTGTAAGGTATTTTCTCCCTTCTTCCAGTATGACTTCATCGTGCAATGGTAGCAAATTCGGCACTTATTCAGGAGGTCCAGGTTCGAGTCTCGGTGAGGGCATTCTTCAGTTCCCTTGCTCCAAAAAATTCTTAATGATTCTACAGTTGTCCCTGAACTATATATATATATATATATATATAATATAAAGGTGGTGGATGATAAATTGTCACCACAAGGATTTGGCGATTGGATCCCCTAATCCCCAGTCACCCTTGAAAAGGAAGAGTATATAAAGTATTTTCTCCCTTCTTCCTAGCACACTCAATGCATATTCGAGAGACCCAGGTTCGAATTCTGGCAAGGGCATTGCACATTCTTCAGTTTCCTTGCTTTAAAAAATTCTTTGACTCCACAATTGTATTTTATTTATATGAACTAGATATATTATTAAGAAGTACATTCACTACTTGTAAATCGTTCGGTTTATTAATCAGAAACAAAATATGTTGCCAAATGGCTGCACAAGGAAATAAGGCTGTAATAAGGGCCAAGGCTACATCAAAATTTTTACCGTTTTTTTTTTTTATTTGTCAGTTTTCAAAGGATAATCATCTTTGCAAATTTTATTTTGCCAAGATATTATTTTGTATATTAAATGAAAATAATAAATATTTTGGTAGTGAAACAGGAATGACTGGTAGATTAATTTTTATGCATTTTTAGAATAATTGAATGGGTTATGTAGTTAATATTATTTATATTTTGCATTAATGAGGTGAAGGTTATTTCCAGTAGTAGTTAAATCAGTTCGGCCATTTCATGTGACAAATTTGTTAGTAATTTGGCTAAGTTCAGTACTTTTGTGAGCTTTTCCCTTTATGATATTCGTATTAAAATTCATGACATTGATATTTTTATTCATATAAAGTAGCATAAAATTTAGAACTGTGGCTAAGCTTGTAGACAGTCTGTGCCGACAGGACATTTAGCCGACACGGGCACTTAGCCAACAGGACATTTAACCGACACGGACACTTAGCAGACACGGACACTTAGCCGACATGGACGCTTAACCAACAAGGCACTTAGCCAACAAGGACACTTAGCCGACACGAACAGTTAGCCGACGGTCAAATTGAATAAGCGCTGAAAATTCTCATCAAGGAATATGATTTAAATTTCGAAAGGAAAAAAGAATTTATTTAACTAAGTACAGAGGTCATTTAATTACATTTTAATATGATCTTCAAAATTTATCCGTAAAGCTTCTTCATTTAATCAGCGGGGTTCTTTTGAACACTTTCACATCATTAAATAATTTTTCTTGTTTACTTAATGATATTAATTTTCCAATCTCACTCCTCCAAATGCTTTCAAATTTCTAATACCTTTACGTTTTATTACTATTTTACTCATCACATCATGTTACATTCTTTCCCTTACAAATTCGTTTGGCTCCTCCCACTAATGAAATTTCCTTTCCGTGTCATGAAAAATCTGATAAAGCAACAAAAAATATTGTTATTCTTGAGTTATACTTTTTTATAGAAACATATATTGGTGAGGGTTAATTTAGCAAATATACTTTATTTTGTATTAAAAACAATTAAAAAAAGGGAATTTTTAAGACAAGCAAAGGTATAAATTATTTGTGACCTCTATAATTTGCAGTTCATGGCACCATTCTTGAAAGAGAAATTCTGAAACCTTTAATTGACCTAACCTCTTGCTTAAAATACTTACTTAGGTTAATGTTTACAGCACTAAATTGGTGCATAATGTTTAATTTAAAAGTAAAATATTCTTTAAGGTTTTTGTTTTGTTCATAACTGAAGCTGCAGAAGGAGAGGGCCACAAAGAAAGTCTGCGGCCACCTAACAGAAGTAGGTTTGGTTTATATAATTACGGCAAAGCCAAAGAGCTATCTGGCCAAAGGGAGGGATGCCATCGTGAAGGACTTTCTAATGAAAACTGGCTCGTATACATGTTACACATGGGGAGAACCTCGAAAACACCCATGCAGCCTGTCTTTTCGCGCGAAATTCGGATTGAACTGCCAGGGTTCATTAATTAAGCTCAGCCTCTGCTGAGCCTAGCAGAAATAGGTGACCCTTTTACTTAATATATAACGCATCTCTTCCAATGAAAGTTGCCTTTTTAGGCTAGAACTTTATAAATGCATTCAGAAAAATGGGCACCAAAAATTTTCCCATTACCATGTAGCTAAACCGAAAACGAGAAAGAGAACTAAGGAAAGCGGATGAAAAAATAAAATTAATGAAAAATGAAATGAAAATTTATACATTTTTACAGATATTGTGAAAAGTTATATTTTGTAAGAACAACATTAATATGAGATATTGTATTTAAAATTAAACATCGCGACTTTCAAAATATTGTACATAATATTATGTATTTACAAGACTGATCTAGTTAAATCCAGCATCGATAGATGGCACAACATTATGGTGACTTTTCAGGATGTGACTCTTTGCTCCGCCTACTTGGTTTGTGGCCCTCTCCTTCTGCAGCTTCAGTTATGAATAAAACAAAACCTTAAAAAATATTTTACTTCTAAATTAAACATTATGCACCAATTTAGTGCTGTAAACATTAACCTAAGTAAGTATTTTAAGCGAGAGGAGTGGTCAATAAAATGTTGCAGAATTTCTATCTCAAGAATGGTGGCATGAACTGCAAATTATACAGGTCACAAAATTTATACCCTTGCTTGTCTTAAAAATTCACTTTTTTTTAAACAAAATAAAATATATTTGCTAAACTAACCCTTACCACCATATGTTTCTATAAAAAAAGTATAATTCAAGAATAACAATAATTTGTATTGCATTATTCAGATTTTTCATGACAGGGAAAGGAAATTTCATTAGTGGGAGAAGCGAAATGCTTAATGTAAGGGAAAAAATGTAACATGACGTGATGGGTAAAATAGTAATGAAACGTAAAGGTATTAGAAATTTGAAAGCATTTGGGAAAGCGAAATTGGAAAATTAATATCATTAAGTAAGGAAGAAAAATTATTAATGATATGAAGGTGTACAAAAGATCCCAGTTGATTAAGTGAAGAAGCTTTACGGATCATTTTTTAAGATCATATTAAAATGTAAATAAGTGACCGCCGTACTTAGCTAAAAAAAATTTCTTTTTTCCTTTTGAAATTTAATTCATATTCCCTGACGAGAAATTTCAGCGCTTTTTCCATTTGGCCAATATGCACCAAACAGCACGATACATATCAAACAATGCTAAATTACACAAGAATTTAAAGCATATATGAGACGTTTAAGAATCAAAAAGTGAATTTTACTTATAGGTGGAAAAAAATGACTTAAATATTGAACTTATGGAGAAGTCGAGAAATTTTGTAATTGATAGTAAGTTTAAATAATTATTGGATATGTGTCAGCTAAACGTCACTGTCCTTAGTGTCCTGTTGATTAAATGTCTTGACAGTTAAGTGTCCCATAACTAAATGCTCTGAAGGTAACTCTTTGTGTTGGCTAAATGTCCTGTCGGCTAACTGTCTGTGTCAATTTAATGACCTGATGGCTAAGTGCCCTTGACGGCTAAATGTCCTGTTGGCTAACTGTTTGTGTCGGCTAAGTGTCCTTGTCGGCTGAATGACCTGTCGTCTAAGTGTCCGTGTCAGCTAAATAGTAATGAAATGTAAAGGTCGGCTAAATGTCCTGTTGGCTAAGTGTCCGTGTCGGCTAAATGTCCCGGTAAAGTGTCCCGTTGGCTAAGTGTCATGGAGCCTTGTGAAAGTGATGGATTGTTATCATTGGATTTTTATTTAGTTTGAAAAAATTAATTGTCAGTTCGAGTTTCTTATTCATTGCTCTTACTGCTGTAAAATTAAATCTCACTTCTTTTAGAGCTGATCAGTTCATGATAATGAAATCAGAAACTATGTCAGTGAAGAATCAGTGTGTTTAGCTGTATTTGTTTATCAAACAAGGTTTTTTAAGTCTTGAAACCATTATGACCAAAATGCAGTGAGTTTACTTTTAATAACTTTAACATATCTTTTTCTGCATATTTTTTAGGAATCTATAAAAACATATATTACTTTTGATGTGAGTTACCCAATAGGTAAATGGTGGCAACACCTATCTAGATGGATTCAGAAATACATTTCTGGCCTGACATGCTTCAGAAGATTATAAACTTGTACACCACTAGGTAAAGACTGTTTTTTTTTTTTTTTTTTTTTTTTTTTTCAGTTTGGCTCAGATGTGAATCATTATATGGAAAGGAGTATTTCCCAGCTTTCATATGGGGGGGGCACAGTTCTTACATGAAGATATTCAGACTATTTATTAAAATCAATTTTGTAGGTTAAATTTGTGAAAAAATATATAAAAAATATATAAAAATTCTTTTAAACTTCAAGGATGACATTGTTGATGTAATCCGTTGTTTGCTTACTGGCATCATTAGTATTTGCGAGAAAAATGAAATGCTATTTCAAAAGACTTAAAATTGCTGATATATTGTGTGAGGGGTAAATCAGTGTCCATTGCTGCTCTGCTAGAATATGAGGCCCAGTCTTGGGCCATTGCAGGGGATGACAGCTCAAACAATCAAGCCAAAAGTGTACTCTAAGCCCAGGCACAGAGATGTTATCATTTTTCTTTTATGGTGAATAAAGTCATTGTGAACATAATTATGACTAAAATTAATTAATTTTTACATCTGGGAAATTAAATAAAATTATTTATGTAAAATAATACATCCCTTTTTTTATTGTTATTTATCTGCATTAATCATGTATTTGTTTGAATAGGACTTGTATATTTTGTGAAGAAAGAAGTGATAGATTTACAGCTTCTGGATTGGATGAGCATTATGATAAAGAATGTCCAATGCTTATTCGCTGTTCAAATTGCAAGCAAGTAGGAAAATGCCTTGAATATTTTTAAGCATTCTTGGAGTTTCTGATTAGGTATTCTTAGATTGATATATTTCTTTTATTTAGATTCTTGAAATTGCTACATTAACTGAACACCTTTTGGAAGAATGTGGTTCTAAAAATCAATATAAACAATGCCCTATTTGTCTAGAAGCTGTTCCATCATTAAATTTTGAGAATCATGTGAAGATAAGAACATGTACAAGTAAGTGTGTTGTGCTACTTACTTGTGCTGAAATTGTATGCATCAGTAAAGAAAGTCAATATTTTAAATTCTCTTTTATGCAAATAATTTCAGTGGCAAAACCAGAAAATGAAGCAAATCATTGCCCTCTTTGTCATAAAAATATAGCACCAGGTGAAGGAGGATGGAGATCTCATTTTCTAACAACACCAGGATGTGCTTTTAATTCTCGCATTAAAAAAAATAATTCCCGAAAAAGTAAGAATCATTATTTTGCATTTTCATTACATAGTTAATAAATAAATATTTATAATAAATTTATTGTATTGCAGGTATACTGAGGAAGAAAAGTGAAAAAACAAGTTGATGATTTATGACAACTTATTCAAAAAATTAGATGAAGTAGGTTTTATTGAAAGAAACTTCTATCTAGTTTGTCTTTATTTTTTTTAAAGTTGTGAAAGAATTATCAGATTATTAACTGTTGATGTAAAATAAGAATTAAAAATGTATCATTGTGGAAAAAAGTATTGAAAATTTTATGTATTTTTTGGGAATTTGTAAATTATGTGTATAGCAAAAATAACGAATTATTAAAGATTTCTGTTTTCAAAACATCAGCTGTTTCCCTTTATGATGTCCAAATATTTGCTTTTTTTATTTTTTGACCTTTAATGCATAGCGCAAAATTATTTCCAACCTAAAACTCTATTTAAACTATATACTACAGTATTGTTGTTATAATATTGATGTAATTTTTGCAACCTAAAAGCTAGCCACAATTGGCTTTTAATGCTACAGTAGTTAAGATACATGTTGCTCATCTAATTTTTTCACTGTTTTCTTTAATTTTACAGCTTGCAAATCGAAAGGAAAAAATTATAAATTATTTAGTGCATACCAGTTCCAAGAGATCCCAGAAAATCAGTGTCCTTGAACAAAATTTCTTTTTAGGCTCTGTAATTTATATGCATAGATTTATGTTATAGATAAAGACATACATTTTAAAAGGAACTGAGGAAGGGGAAAATTGTAGAGTGTATCTTCAGTGCCTATGATATTCCTTTCTACCATGAACTGCTGGAAGAGAAACAATTGAGTGATAGAGGGTAAGCCATAAATTTTTTCGCTTTTGGAAACCAAAAATGAAAGTGGTTAAATAATCTTATCAAACTTTTATTTAACAGGAACATATCTATGTTTGTTAAAAGCATTCTTAACTCAAAGGTTTTTGATGTTCAGGTATTGACAATTCTGCCTATGTTGTGATTTATCTCACTTGTCTGACAGTAACATCAGAACAAGCCTACAAAATTCAGCATGGCAAAGAGTGCAAGATTGCACCTGTTGTTGGTAAGATGCTCAGTATGACTATGCTCAGTTCCATCCCCAATTTTTAAGGAAAACATCCCAGGGGGACAGGTCTGAGGGTCTCCCGCCCCTTTTCCCTACCACCAACCTCTTGACAGGACTTTTGGCTCGCTGTGTATTTAAAGTATCCCAATGTCGTGCAGACATTATACATTTACAAACATTTATGCCTTCTCTGGGATTCAAACTCAGGCCCTTCATTATGGTAGTAAACTCAAAGTAGCTAACTACTATCCCAGTTGGGCAGCCAATTCTGCGTATTAACATGCCCATTGAAGTAAAATTTCTGTGAGCAAAATTTTTTAAGAAAAGAAGTGCTCAAACATTATTTCAGTGAATAGTATGAGTTCAGGGGGTTTCATTTCAGCTGAATCTTTTATAAGTTGCAGTTTGAGACCCAGTTTGGAAATTCACTGCACATTGGTTTAAGAACATATTCAGGTGATTCCTCAGCTCATGTCTCGCACATTTTCTTTAACTTGTTTCATATTTGTGGTGGAACCGATTTGTTTGAATTTCCCACTTCATAATTTAAGTAATTATGAAATGAAGCACACATAGAACACCTGTAAGCTATGTAAATAAAACTTGAATTGTTTCTGTATGTTGGTATGCAAATAGTGATGGACTGTCGCCAATAGCGAGATAAACTTCATGAACTGGAAACCCTGCAAATGAGTTAATTGTGTAACTCGCTTATTCTTTACTCTTGCTTTTCTCACTCCTATAGGAAAGGACAGGACACTCTCTATTATATAACTCCCTTTTTCAATATGTATTTGAAATATTAACAAATCTCAATGTATTTTCATTGTATGAATAAAAATGTGTTTTGTGATCTTACAATTTCCGTCTACAACCTTTTTTGGATTACAAGGTCAGTAGCTATCATCTCGCTTGAAACTGCACTGGATACAAAGTAAGAGGAATCATTTTGCTCTCTACTTTCATTAATTTGTTGTTAAATTTGGAGACTTTAAAAATATTTTACAACAAAAGATTATGAGACTGAAAGAAAGATAAATTAAACAATAATAAAGAAAAACTCTAAAAGCTAAACTGTAGTTTCATATCAAAAAAGAAAATAAATATTTCGACGATATAAAAATGTTGCATTCAAGTCAAATGCAAATTACAAAACTGAATTCCAGCAATTACTCAACATGGAAATTCAAAATATAAATGCTACTAATAAAGGATCTTTACGATGTAATCGAAGATGTTCCTCGAAGCCCTGTTACAGAACAATGGAGTAAACGGGGTCGGCAGTGTCGCCCAATGATAAATTTATTTATCGAAGACAGACAAATAATTCATATTAAACATGAAACTACTGCTAAAACCATCTAGGGAAAACTCAGGCAGGTACAGAAAGGTCTAATCTCTCAAGTATTTCTCTTGCGAAAGCTTTACAGTTTGAAGCTTGAGGAAGACGGAAATATGAAAACATTACTTAGTCGATAAACTCAATAGGTGAGAACATAAAAGACGAACACGTTTCGGCACTTTTGCTTTTTCATGCTAGTTCTTAAGATACGCTCATACCGCTCTTGAAGCCAGAGCGAATCGGGACTGAATCCAGAATTCTCAAAAGGGAAATTAATTGACTAATTTAACAAGAGAGTTGAAAATAATTCATCAGATTCAAAGGCATTTAAAGCCTCATTTCAAACAAGACAGAGAAAAGTTTTGCTCATAGTGTCACAAAAATAATCATTTTAGATCAAAGTGTTATCACCTAAAATCGAAACAAAAAAAAAAAAAAAAAAAAAAAAATGAACCGTGCCAAAACTCGAAGAAAACATACGCGGATTCTGAAACACGCCAAGCAAAGAATGTATTTAACCTCGTGATGAATCAACAAAAATTAAAACACCAGAAATCGAATCCAGATGCTGCCCTGTCGCTCTCTCTGCTGACGAAATCATGCATCAATCACTGGAGAGTTTTATTTTCGATAGCGAGGCAAATAGCCACCTAGTAAATAATAAACAATATTTTACTGAAGTTTTATATGCTCCTGAATTAGAAGCGAATTTAATCTCAATTAAGAAAATAACGGACAAAGGACTTTCGGTTCTGTTTGAAGGAAATAAATGTATGATCATTAACGAAGGTCAGTTTCTTCTAGAATGTCATGCAACTAACAATGTTTACCAAATTAAAAGAATGGACAGGAATAATGAACCATCAGGCTCATGTAGCATATCAATGCAAAAATTAGAACTGTTTTCAACTTTGGCATAGACGCCTTGGTCACAGAAACGATGACGCGATGAAACAACTTGTAAACAAAGAACTCGCTGAAGGAATTAAACTAGATAATTGTAAATATGATACCAAATGCATTCAGTGCATAAAATGTAAACTAACTGATTTTCCTATCCCAAAGAATCAAAATTCAGAGCATCTAAACTGCTCGAACTCCTTCACACTGATGTTTTAGGACCAGTGCAGTCAGTGAATAGACATATATACCGAACTATTGCACTACGCAATTTTGCCAGTTCTTGACATGACAAGTTCCAGACGTGGGAGGATCTCTGAAGAGAATTCGGAGTATGTTGGAGCAGGGCGGAGCAGAACATCATGAAAAGTCGCCATAATGGTTTGCCGTCTATCGACGTTAGAAGGAACTGAACTAGGACAGTCATCTTTCAAAAGCAGATGTAAATTAAACATCGATGCCATCTAAAAGTTCAACAAGACAAAGTGCGAGCTTAAATTTTTCAGCTGCTGTCTTCTTTTTCATGAATTGATCAATAAATGTAATCAATCTGTTGACAACATCTTTAATTTTTTTTTTTTTTCAAAGTTCATTTCTGAGGGTGCAGAAGAATCATCTGAAGCTTTAGACACAGGAGCTGACATTCTGTGTGGACACAGCTTTTTTAAAGTTTTTGGGTGGCTGATGAGCTTTTCTTTCATCATTTTGAGACTTGCGAAGCTTCGGATACAATTCATAATCTTTAAATGTCAGTGGATATCTGTCCTTCGTAACTTTTATCAATAATTACAGCAGGTTCACAATGATTTGCCCAATGAAAAAAAAAAAAAAAATGATGTAATTTCTAAACTAAAACAATTTATTGCTCGTACAAACAATAAATTCGGGAGAAAAGTAAAACCGCTAAGAAGTGATAACGGTGGGGAATACACAAGCAAGGAACTTGAAGAATATCTTATAAAACCCGGTATAAATCACCAGCTTACTGAGAACCGTATTGTCCAGCACAAAATAGAGTCAGTGAACGCAAAAATAGGTCTTTGATGGAGATGACAAGATGTCTTTTAGCTGACTCGGGTCATCCTCACAGACACTGGGCAGAAGCAGTACTGACTGTAAATTATTTACAGAATCGTATGCCTACAAAACCAAATGAAAAAAAAAAAAAATACGAGCAATGAAATAACAAGAAACCCAACCTCTCTCATCTGAGGACTTTCGGGTGCAAGGTGTTTGCTTACATCCATAAATTTAAAAGGGGTAAACTCGATGATACTGCTATAAAAGGAATACTCGTCGGCTACGACAGCAGAAGTAAAGGCTCTAGAATTGTAGTCCTTGGAGACAAAATCATAATAAGGCGATCTATTGAAGACACTGGAACTAACGAGCCCGTAAGGGTCTCCTCAAACCAGGATGAAGAAAATCCTAAGGAAGAAAGCTCAAAACAGGAGGAAATAAAAATAGAAGAACCCGAAGATGAAGAAATATCAGAACCCGAAGAAGAACCTCTGTTACTCAGGAAGATCAAACAGAGTCACAAAAGGTTATAAGATATTTCTCCCACTTTCCTAGCGTGTTTTCATGGTGTAGTGGTTCTGCATGCTGGGCCGGTATTCCAGAGGTTCGTGGTTCGATTTCCGGCGAAGGCGGTTGCTAATTTTTCATCTCTCCGGCTTTTCCAATTATCCTAATGTTTCTACAGTGGCGCCCTAACTAAACGGGTGTTGGATGATGATTATCCGCACCCAGGATTTGGTGATTGGATCCCCTAAAAACCCCAGTCGCCCTTTAAAAAGGGGAGTATATAAAATATTTATCCCACTTTCCTTGCGTGGTGTAGTGGTTCTGCACACTGGGCCGGTATTCCAGAGGTCCGTGGTTCGATTTCCGGCGAAGGCGTTGCTAATTCTTCAGCTTACCTGCTTCAAAAAAAAAAAAAAAAAAAAAACTAATATGTCTACAAGGTAAACCTCCTGATCGCTACGGATTCAATGCAAAATATCCGATTTCTTCCGA